CCTCATTTCCCACCCTCGGCTTATATTCGGGTCAATACTTTTTTTTGGTAAAATTAGGTACCTCGGCTTATATTCGGCACGGCTTATACTCGAGTATATACGGTAATACTTAACCCTCATATTTCTCTCATTACAAGTTGACTGTTCCGGTATTGAAAAACAGTGATTTGCTTCAGGAATCCAACTTCAGGCAACCAGTCCTGACGCTGCCCCTCGCATTGTGACACCATGGCGGGGCTGCTTGAACTCCTCAGGACCCTCCAATGGACTCCTCTTACAGCCATTAGGAAACCTCCATGTCAATAAGTAAGATGTGGACATTTAATCTTGAGATACACTCACAGCACAGACCAAAAAATAGAGACTCTGGATCTAGGCTGTCACATGACTTCAGTTTTAGTTTGAAGCATGTCTTTTTTTTTTTTTTTATAAAAAGGTGCCCATAAACCAGCGGTAAAGAAAACCTGTGCTGTGAAAACTATATGAGCTATTGCTTCCTCGCCTTCTAAAAATGTAGGTCACCTGGCTGTCATGCTAATTCATTTGCCTCAGAGCTTGGAGTCAGTGATTAGGAATTATGGCTACACCCCAGACTTCACTGGCTGCATCCTTTTCCAGGATAGTACCTCAGAAAGCACTGAAGCCAGAGCTACATCATGGCAGCCAGACATCTTTGCAGGTCAGCAGTCATAAAATCTCAGCCTAGCGTAGGGTGTACCAGCTCATGCTCTTGTCTAACTTCCAATAATCAGGGACATACAGTGAGCTATAGACAAGGTCTATATTGAAGTCTGTAAGACAGATACAGACACTGGCTATATACAATGGGGGGGATTTATCAAAACTGGAGCAGTTGCCTAGGGCAACCAATCAGCTTCTCTCTTCAGTTTGTGGAGTTAAACTTTGAAAATTAAAAGGTGGATGATTGGTTGCCATGCATAGCTGCTCCAGATTTAGTCTGCACGAGTTTTGATAAATTCCCCTCAATAAGTGTTACAAGATAACTTACCACAGATTAAGGACATTTAGAGAATAAGGGGGTGATTTACTAACCTAAACACACGCATGCACAAGGTGTGTGTTATTTTTACACAGCAAAACGTATTTATCAACCAAAAAGTCTCTAAAAGCATATTTCCACTAATGCCATATATGGAAAAATGATGCATATATAATGCTGCTTCACAGTTTAGACAAAAATGGTTAGCTCATGCATTTACATTCCTGCATTCATCAATGCAAGCAACACAATGTAGAGCTAATTTACACAACATTACCTTGCAATTCATGCAGGGCTTTGCACAACACACCTGCTGGGTGTGTACACACTACAAAAGGTGTTTAGATTCCAGCAATAGATCATGCTGGGAGGGAACACACTACAGAGGTGTATACATGTTCGTGGTGTGTTTATAAGGTTAGTAAATCAACCCCTAAATGTCAACTGACTTGGAAGATAATCAAAATTCTTTGGTCACAATAACATCTGTAGGCACCCGTTCTACGTCCGATCTCTGGCAGAAAATGTCTGGCCGTTCATACGGCCTGGTGTGAACCATACCCATAGGAAATAATGGGATTTCGGTGTTTGAGCGTTTTGCAGAGCGTTCGAACGCACTACAAAACGCCCAGGTGTGAACCGGGCCTTACAGTTTTCTGTTAGCACCCCTGCAAAGTCCAACAAATACCTGTTGAGCCTGCACCCCTGCAAAGTCCAACAAATACCTGTTGAGCCTGCACCCCTGCAAAGTCCAACAAATACCTGTTGAGCCTGCACCCCTGCAAAGTCCAACAAATACCTGTTGAGCCTGCCCGTGAAGTCCACCTAATTCAGCTTCCTGTGATGGTGTGGCAATGATACTGCACTGCTCCTGAAATCAAAGCAGCGTTGCCACACTCATGTAGGCTGTACCTGTTTTATGTACAGTGGGATGAGAAAATGTTGCAGATGGCATAGCTATCAGCATTGCCACTGCTGATTCACAAACATGTAGCCTCTCAAGCAGCAGCCGGCCACACCTATCTAACCGTGTCCACTGCTTTCTGGATTGACAACACTGCCTGTTTCTGAAAACCTACCGAAAGCTGCAGTGTCTGGGAGGGGAACCACATGAGACAAAGAAGGATTTAACTCAGTCAGGGCAGGAACACCAAGTATTTTTGTTTACCTTATGAGGCTTGAGCATGGCCTAATTAGTACATTTGCTACTTGTTTAGACTGTCATAACCATTAGATGTACTTTAAAATAGATTTTCTCCACCCTATGGAAATCTTCTCATATTTGCCTAAAAAAATGGGGCCTATTTTTGCAAACGTATTTCATTCTTCTGATCACCATCTCACTGCTACGGCTAGCCTTACCTTTAGAAAATTGATGGGGGAGAAAGAGAGTTCAAGGAAAGTATACACTGCTGTGAATGGATGGGTTCGCAGGGAGAGTTTACCGTTATCATAACTTACCCAAATCACACTCAAGTGACTGTCTAGTACACATTAGCTGCAGCGAGCGGAGTGCCAGAGGCAAAGCAGTCTCAATTTTCCCCACAACCCACTGTTACCTAGAATATACAGCAGGATTTACAAACACAAGCAGTCTTATCCAGTAGGGCAATGTGAACAGTAATAAAGATAAGAGTGAAAGGTGTGGTTGGGTCTAGGTTACTGCCTCATTAAATATCCTATTAGAATACACTGCTTGTTAGGGGAAACAAAATCCCCAAAGATTCCAATTCTAAATTTATAAATCAGATATTTGCAAGGAATGCTACTGATTTGAACACCACTTTAGAGCTGCAGCTAACGATTATTTTCAAAATCGATTAGTTAGCCGATTATTAAGTTCGATTAATCGGTTAATCGGATAAACAATAAAATACATTTTAAAAAATGGCTCCAGTGATGGACTACTAGTTTGTATTGAGATTGCACTCCATCACAGGAGCAAGCTTGGAGCGGTGGAAGTAAAAAAGAAAAAAAAAATAGTGTGGTGTGCAATATAGTGAAAAGGAAAGTGTAAAATTATACAGCAATGAATGCAGATCGTGGATGTGGGCGGGCGGTGAGTGTAAGGCGGGGAGGAGATGTGGCGTGAAGAGCGTGGATGGGGGCGGGTCTGGCAGCAGCGAGCGTGAGGTGGGGAGGAAGTGCGGCGTGGGTGGAGCCGTGAACAGGGCCAACTGATCGGAAGCCGATTAATCGATTATTGAAAAAGTTGACAACTTTTTCAATAATCGATTATAATCGATTATGTCGATTAGTTGTTGCAGCCCTACACCACTTACCCCAATCCCACCCCATAGCAGTTAATACCCAAATGTGTTTGTTGTATCAGACTTTCCAAACATGCTGGAAGCTTTCTGGCTGTTCACTGCTACAATAATATACATGGAGGGGGAATTTATCAAAACTGGAGCAGACAAAATCAGGAGCAACTGTGCATGGAAACCAATCAGCTTCTCTCTTTCATTTTCAAACCTTAACTGGCCAAACTGAAGAGAGAAGCTGATTGGTTGCCATGCAGAGCAGCTCCAGTTTTGATAAATTCCCCTCTCTATATTTTGCTCTGCATGGACAGAATTGGAAAGGAAAATCTCCATGTCTAGGTTTTTGTTTTCAGTTCTCCAGGTAGCACTTGCCTACTTTCCCCCAGGACTGTGTAAGAGAGTAACTAATATAATAGGTAGCAGAGCAAAAATCAGGATGACAGTCCTATAACTTATTCCTTTGCCCTATTTTATAGCACCAAGGACATGTAGAGGTCATGAGTTAATGGGCAATTCCCTTTGCCCAGGGGATCCAAGAAAATGGCAATACCCCCATCAATCCACCCACACCCCAAAGCACAAGCCTTTCTCCCCCTTTGCTGGCCTTACCTTTCCGCAAAGGGTCATTCCCCTCCGCGGCTGCTTGTGTATGAGCTATACAAAAGCACCGCAGCCCTTCGCTCAGTATTTCAAATTACGCTCGCAAATGATGTCAGCTCTGTCACCTGAACACCAGGGCTGCAACTAATAATTATTTTCATAATCGATTCGTTGGCCGATTGTTTTTTCGATCAAATAAAAAAAGAATAAATACCATCCTTAATTTAAATAAAATACACAAATGGAGTGTTACAAAGTTTGCTCCAGAATAAAGCCGCATGCTACTTTTTTTGCAATGACACTGCACTGGAACGTACAGCATTGCCGTATGGTGTGTTCCAGTGTGGGCGATCTTACTGTGGGTGGGAGGTACATTTAGGGTGTCATTGAAATGAATGGAACTGCAACGCATGTCCAGCAGCAGAATTTGTCAGGCCAAAACCGAAAATGACCTTTTTCCACCTTTTTTTTGTATTGTTAGCACATGGTGCTTGAATAGCTTCAGCCAGGAAATGACAGCTGCCAGTGGCAAGATTCCACAGGCTGAATGTAAACACAGCAGGTAGTGGGCTGGTGCAATAGTCAGCCTGCTAGCGGCCGTTTCAAAATTGCAAGAGCCAAAAGCAGGCTGGCTATTGCTTGCTGTGTCCCCCTCCCAGTGTGGAAGAGAGAGCTAAGGGAACCAACCAACTAATGGATAATGGGAATAGTTGACAACTATTCTCTATCAATTAATCGATTAGTTGGTGGCAGCCCTACTGACCACTGAAAAGCGTTCTTAGTGGCGGTATTTCCATTTTCTCAAATTCGCCTGGGAAAGTGGAACTCCCCTTTAAAGCTGAACTCCCAGCACAAAAACGGTCATTCAAATATATTCCTGGACAGCCACAAAAGATATGAATCCATCTTGCATTCACCGAATGCCTTTTTTAACCCTGCACAAGGAAGATAAGCGGCGTAAACTTGTCCGTATTGCAGGTTAATCCTACACAGGAGGTAAAGTGCAGAAGCTGTTTCATGCTGGATTACTGCACAGATGTGGAAAAAATACATAAAGGATTGACGAATACATATGGCTCCTGCAGTTACATCTTTGTTTAGCCCGGATTTCAGCTTAAGGCAGACAGCATAAAAAAAAAAACCACAAAAACATTTATTTGTACAAAATATGAGAATCTGACAAACCAATAACTATAAATTCAGCATCTGAACAGGAAATATGAATTCTTGAAGACCAGAGGAAATAAAAGTCATGAAATAAGTCCAAAAAAGGCAACTGGTTTCACTTTTTAGCATATGTTATCTTCATAGCATGAGATGGCGTAATCTTAAAACCTTGAAGTGCATCCCGTGCAGACCCTGCCTGGTTTTCGTTCTCAAACTCTACAAAGGCAATATCGTGTCTTCCAGGAACCAGGCGTACCTCTTTGAAGCCAGGAAATCTGTGGAAATAAGATAGTCAAGTCACGTGCTAGTTTAGAACACAGAAAGGAATATCGACGCCTCGGTTCTTCTTACATACAGCAATAATTCTGTATCACAGGAACCATCTAGAAAACACTTCGTAAAAGTCCAATAATGCAAAAAAATACCAGCATTTGCTAAATAATGAGTACTTATACATTATAAGTGGGCTGCCCATGCATGGCAATGATTAAATGCTCATTTTATCTAGGGAGCTGAAATAACAAAGTTACTCACCTGAACCACAATCCCAGCTTGCTCTTAAACTGCCCCCTTCAGCCTTCCCCCCTCCAGCAGTCTAAGGTCCTGTTAGTCATCACATGCATGTATGTATTGGACATAACAACGCCGGAGTACATTCCATAGCTGGAGCAGAGGAGACAGGCTGCAGGGACCGGTCTAAGAGCAAGCCGGGATTGCAGTACAGATGAACATAAAACTTTGTTATTTTAGTTCCCGTAAGCAAAACAGGGGTTGCCCACTGCAAGGGTTAGGATTTGATTTGCCTGGAGTTCTGCTTTAAGGAAGGTAGTAAACAATAATGAAATAATAGAAATAACTGAAATAGTATTAAAATAGAAATGTATTATTCTTCCCAGCCAGAGGGCTGCACTCTTCAAATGCAGGTTTACACTTAAACCATGGGCATATGTCACAGGTCTACTATGGGTTCTGCTCCAAGTACACACAATGTTGCAACCAGTAGAAAGAACCGAGTGCATGAATTAAACAGCGTCAACCAATACTAACAATGACATTAAAAGATGACATAATGGACATACATCCTTCTTAGCCTGTGCGCGTGACTCAAAACCAGCCTTCATTAAAAAGGAGAACTTTGGGGTTAAGGCTTTTCCAAATAGTTCTCCTTAGGGTAACGGGAGGACACAAACTAGCGTCCACCCGTCACCCTAAGCTCAGTATACCGCAAGCTACTGCTCGCGGTATACCGAGACGCCGCAGTTGAAGCGTATCCCAACAAATATGTCTGGATCCACCCAGCTGCGCAAGTGAAAGCTGGCTCTGCCGTGACAGCCCCTCCCCTGTCACGGCAGAGAGCCGTGACAGGATTGAGAGGTGAGCGAATGCCAGTATGTGTTCGATCACCCCCCGATCTACTGAGCCGACCTGTGGCAGTCTCATTGTCACAGGTCGGCTAGAACTATGAGGTGAGTGAAAAGCACTCACCTCATAGTTCTCCTTTAAGGTTGTGCTAAGTGCAGCTTAATGGAACATAGGTGTACGAGTTCACTGTATTCAGCTAAAACTTGGCGGGAAAGAAAAGTAAGAGGAGACGTTGAAATGAATTAGCTTGATGCAGAGTAAAAGCTAGTAATTAAAAAGAACCACTCAAACTTTCTCTACCCAGCTTTCTTTCTGCAGCTTCCACTCCCATTCCATTAGATTTTTTAAATGCCAGTCACTGCCTCAAACTAACCCAATATTACCATAAATATCTAAATCAAACAGGTTGGGGAGTCTAGGAGTGAAAGTACATTTACAGACAGAAGAGCAACTGCAGGAAGCACTTATATAAACTCTATGAAATTCCTATTTCCATTTTGAAACAAATAATCCCCCAGCAGAAGAGTTTAAAACGCAGTACCGTGGCATGGTTACCCCTTCTTCCCTTCACACAATTGCCGGCAGCTCCGAGAGTGCTTTTCATATACAGAAATATATGAAATGGAGTCTCTCTTGCCACCCTTGTAACAAATGGATTGTGTTCTCCTCTTCAGCCACTAGATAGAGCTCTACACAGTAATAGTAGCAGCATCAATACAAGAACACCTTGTAACAGATATTGATCTCCCAAGAGATTGCAGTCAGTCACATACAGACGACCAATTACTCTGGTTCTCTAGGGAAACTCATTAAAAAGTTCAAGACTTGCAAAGTCAAAAGATAAAACTGTATACAGCCCTTACAGCTGAAAATCTACTTTAGGAACATATCCACCACCTATATGACCGATAAAGCCTTTGGTAACTAATGGAAGGATGCATACAAAAAAATGAATTCTCGGAGAAGTGTCATTGGTGACATACTGGCCAGCCATGTTCCCACTACAGAATAGTTAGGAGCATTCTGCAGGTATAGTATAATTCTATCACATCTTCTGAGGCTGAAGTAAATCAACAAATGCTGTGAAGCACCAGTGGAAAACTAATAATGGGTGCTCTCTGGTGCCATTTTGTGCGATTAGCAGCAGCAGAGTTCAAACTCATACTGTACACACCAAGTTCTATACTGTTAATACAGTAAGCAAGAATTCTCCTCCGAGTCCCATGCATGCAGTCATGGGCTACCACACCGTTCAACAGCATATGTTGTCAAACTACTTACATCAAGGGCCAACAGATTCTTACATCTTTACGGATAGGTCACTTTAAACTTCACGCTTTAGAAATACATGCCAGCCCACCCACCACACATAGCATCAAGTCTACCTAATCATTCTCATTGTGACAATGTCTGACCCTAAGTAGAACTAGCCATTTTTTTTACATTATGGACAGATCAATGTAGGGTTATAACCCCATCAGCTTTTTTATTTTTGCCATCTGTGTCCTATTGGGCAGATTTTCCTTTGCTTACTGTCTGATAGCCACAACAGCAAGTGAGAGGAAATCCCTCCAAAGTGAGGTAAATCCCCGGTGTTGAGCAGGGTCATCAAACCTATCGCCCCCATTGGAAGATTTCCCATCTATTCCTGTTCTGATGACAACGCAAAATTTGGGATTTTCTTTCAGTTCTCTATTACTCTTGGTGACCATTAGATCACCAGGATTAATAGAGAGGGTGAATCTCCATAATGTCAACAATAAAAACCTGAGGGGTATTCTAATCCCTCTCTGCTCTATCCAAAGCTACAAAGGAAAAGTTTTGGCTTCAGCTGCACTTTAAAGTGACACTAAACTCAGGAGTTAAATCTTAAAAATCCATTCAAGTACCCTATTAACAATACTGTATCTTATTTGTGTATCACTCAGGTTTAGATCCTCAAATCATCTCTGAATTGGTGCCGACACTGCCCTTCCCCCAAGCTCACTTCCATGATGGACTACAATCTCAATATAAAATTATAAAAATAAAATGTGAGATTGTAGTCCATCATGGGCGCGAGCTTGGGGTGGTGGCTACTTTACAACACACACACACACACCCCCACACACACCAAGTAGCCACCCTCCAGAAGGAAGGACAATGTCAGCACCAATTCAGAGATGATTTGAGGATTTACGGCCTTGTTCACACCAAGCGCGTTTCAGGTGCAGAGCAGATTAGTTGCAGACCGGATCAAAACTGCGTCCAATGTTTTCCAATGGTATTTTTTGCTCCAGTTCACATCGCAGCATGCAGGTCCAGAGCAGGTGAAAAAACTGCAGCAGGCCCTATTTTACCTGCTCTGGATCTGCAAACGCATCAAAAACGCATGCAAATGCATGGAAAGCACTGAAAGCCCATTTTAAACTTTAAAAAAATTATTATTTTTTTTGCCAAAAACGCATCTAAAAGACTAGCGTGCGTGTGCAGAAACCTGACCGGATCTGCTCTGCATTTGGTGTGAACAAGGCTTACAGCTGAGCGATACACAAAAAAAAAAAGAAGATTTTTGGTACTTGAATGCATTTTTAAGGTTAACTCCTGAGTGTTACTTTAGGTACAAGACATAAAACTACATTTCTATATACTGACATTATTTCAGAAATTTAGAAGGAAACACCTTCCTAATCCTTAATCTCTATACACCTCAACAGTCCCATGAATGGACTCTAATTAAAACATTGATATTTGTGTAAGCTGGAATTCCAGTTCAGAGTTTTTGTAACTATATTGCATAACACTGAGTGGTGACTAGCACAGTACACTAGGTGTCCCATTTGTGTACACTAGGTGTTCTGTGTGTGGGAGGGATTGTGGGCTGCAGAGACATTTATAGAAGCTGCAGCAGTTGGCCCGCACCCTCCAAACAGGACCTAACAAACCAGGAAGGCAACCATTGTTCCTGCTTGTCCAACCTTTCCAAATGAATACCAGACTTCAACTTATTCCAGAATAGAACAGAAGGGAGATCTTTGTGGCAGACCTAAATCTAAACTAGATCTAAATGAGGAGGCTGCAAAGGCCAATTATCCTCCCATCAGAAGTACAATGAACAGAGTCACATGAATATTTTTCCTTAATATAGTAAAAAAATAAAACCCCCAGTGGTGAATAAATACCACCAAAAGAAAGCTCTATCTGTCCCCAAAAAAGGGTATAAAATTCATTTCAGTACAGCGCTGCATGACGGAATAAATGTCAGTCAAAGTACCGCAGCGCTGAATACTGAAAAATGGCCTGGATGGGAAGGGGGTTTAACACCGCGGATGTCAACTGGTTAACGTAATACATCCAGTTATGGATCATTTCAAACAACAGAATTCAAAAACTACTTCACAACGGTGAAATAAAATGGGCAATACTCACTGGTTAAACAACATCGACAACATCATCTCATTGGTTTCTTCAGGCAAATTATTCAAGAACAGGATGTAATTTGGTGGGTTGTCAGGCACCTAATAAAAACACACAATTATATTTCATTTCAATAATGCTTAATAACTACAGTATTATAGAACATTTTCTACATCTTATGCACATACAGGCTTATCCAAGAAAAAATGTCTTATACACTGTATTGGACATGAGTGGAGATGGAGAGGCTGCAGAGACAGATTTAGCAGCCAATTGGAACTGAGTGGGGGGGGAGGTTTTTTTCTGTCTGGAGTTCTTCTGTCAGGAAGCTATCACCTGTAATGTTGTTACTTGCTCAGCCTTTAGTCTATTAGGAACGCTGCCATTTCTGACCTCTAATATCTATGCTACAATATAACGCAAGTATAAGCAGCGCCTCTGGCTGACCAACTCCCTCTTATAGGCATCTGTACAGACACTTCAAGGTAGACTGTCGGAAGAAGCTGCCTCCTCCCTCCACCTCGCTGAGCAGAGGGAAGGAGAAAGGCAGTCATCAGATTCCCTGTGATAAGTGTCTGCACAGACACTCAGCAGAGTGTGCTTTGCTGTCTGGAATCCTCTCTCTTCCCAGAGAGAAGAGAAGCAATAAAGTGAGCTTCAATAGCTCACTGTATTGCTCCTTGCACCTAGGGTGCACTGTCACTCTGTAATATGCTCCTAAAAAAGTTTATTAGGGGCATTGTGAGCACAAAAATATACCAGACATGGTGCCCTGCGATGTGTCACGTATAGTTTCTCTGGCTCATTGTCTTCTCCAAGCAAAACCAAAAGACAAATCATTTCTGAATACTTTACCTGAAAGCAGAACAGCAAATAAAAACAAAGGTTTCCTTTCTGTAAACTATAAAAGTGCATGTGCTTTGTTACCTGCGGGTTCTGTGCTGCTCCTGGTGGTGCAGTGTCCGATTCCTGTCCTGGAACCTGAAAATAGCAACATCAATAATTAGCACACCAAAGTATGGGCAGATAAATAGAAGAAAAATACTCCAGACATCATAAACTGCATTTTAATAATGTCACATCTTCAGTGAAAAATATATCAGCCTGATTTTTTTTATTTTTATATGGCCATTAAAAATAATTCCATGATAACCAAATATCTGGCTGGAGATCAGTGCTGTAAAACGTCCAACAAACTACAAATCCAATTGCAGTTTGGTTGTAAAGGTCAACATGTTCTGTAGTTTGTAAGTCTGTTAGTGAATTATTGTTGAGTGCTGACATTTGAATTAACTATATCCTAGATAGTGTTAAATCCAAATGCTAATGTGTGTAAATGACAGCTCTCCAGGCAAATATATCCAGCAAGTAGTCGCAGGTGCACAGGCTCTCCAGGATTCGCCTTCTCCCCTCCAAGCATACAAAACACATAATCCGCATAGGTCAGGGGTAATGGCAGACTGTCAGACTCTTTCTTACTTTGGGTAGTTTGCCTTTAGTGCTGCATTCAGCTGCACACAAAACCTTAATGGCCAAATGCCCTAGTGAATCCTGACTAGCACACCTTTTCCATAAAGGGAGAGAATTGATTTTTTTTTGTGTGTATAACGAGAGAAAAGATATAACCAATCAACATTTCAGGCCCTTCAGGGCACCTTTCTCAAGGAAAATGTATGCCTTAACAAAGGGACCTTGTGAGGTCCAGAAAGTATGTTTACCATGTCCACAATCATAAATGAACAGGAGGTGATGTAGATCACTTCCCATTTATTCATAATCGGGGACACAGGAAACATACTAGGGCTTAGGGAGAGATAATCGGGCAACTAAATCGATGACAATTAGTTGCTCAGCGATCGCTGAGTGTTTGTACCCGCTTTCCATCCTGGATCGGCTGTCACAGGAGGCTGAGTGAGCAGTGCGGGAGATCTCGATCTGACAGCTGACTCTTCCCCCGCATCACCGGCCTCCTATGACAGCACTGGCTATCTCTGCTCACATGGTTCACCCGATCTGTGACAGGAGGCCGAGCGGTGTAGGGAGGAGAGACGCCGGCCGCTCACAGCGCTCTCCACCTCCCGCACCACTCGACCTCCTGTGACAGTTTTTCTCCTACCCGCTGGGACACAGAGCAGCTCCCAGCGGAGAGAGACAATCACAGATGCACCGCTATTTCGGGACTTTGCCCAAAGTGCCATTTTCGGCTGACATGTTTCGGCGGCCAAAATTTAGGCGCGGATTTCCCTGTTATTTTGGGCTTTTCTTCCCTAGTAAAGGGCAACAGTGTCACCTGGACAAGACATGAAGGATTATCTCCACAACAGGGCCTGATGCAGCAAACATTGAGAGGATATTATTTTTTATACTTCATCTAAAAGTGAAAAAAAGAAAATCTACCCATGCCAAAAAATATTCCATACAATATGGGTTGCAGCTGTTTTATATTTCAGTGGCCACGTAATGAACAGCAGCACATCAATGTTTCACTGGCATCTTAGAGATGTGCATTGGGGCCTGTGGTCACTGCAAAAATGACAAGAGGCCTTCTGCATTTACCAACACATATCTGAGCGCTGAACATCAAGGTGTATATCTGAATATGCAGGTATATCCGCAAAAGCTTTTATTTACCAGGTGCCCACATATACTTTAGTAATTTAACAATCTGGTAACCTTGTACTCAATACTATACAGGGGCCATTATATGGTACAGCATTTGACATAAGCTGGTTGAACTCTATAGACATGTGTTTATATTACCGACCTGACACTAAAAAGAATAGTTTGCACACATCCCCCTGCATACATTTTAGTCTGGTTCACAATGTTTTAATACACAATAACACAATTTCCAATTCAAGCAGTTAAAAGCAGCAAAGTTGCTTATGGCCGTAGATCTGAAACTGCAATGGACATCAGCTCACAGATGGGAACTGAAATGACTTGCCTGAGCTGGGAGCAGATGGGCCGATGTTTTCATCTGCTAGATACCAGGAGGATGAGAACAGCAATGTCAATGAGAATGTAGGCAGATGAAAACATACAGAGAATTTTATCCCTGTAAACATCATAAATCCCAGCAGCTCAGTAGAAATAAACACCATGCGGGTCAGAGACAGAATACAAAGCACCATGTACTTCTAAAATCCGCATACCGTTACAGAATTTGTTGTCTCACCTGTGCAGGTTTTTTGTTTGCTGCATTTGCCGCCTGCTCTTGAGCTTTGTTCTTTTTCTTTTCTTTCTTTTTCTCTTTATCTGCAAATGTTCCACGCATCTTGGATACTAAATCAGAGTCAGATTTTGCATATTGAATTCGCTGCAGGATACAAAAATTTAGTTATTAATTGAAAATACTCAATATTATTAACAGGACTAAATTACACTTAAATAACAACCTACACATGATACAAGCTTGCCTGGTGGCAGAAGTCAGAATCCTGCAAGCTTAACGTTCACTGCAGATTCCTGAACATTTCCTAATTGGTAAGGGTGATACATTTTGAAGGATTCCACCAACCTTGCTATAAATATGGGCAAAATGTGCAGACCCTGCATGCACATTAACCCACCAGCATTGTTTTAAGCATGGATGCCCATACCATATTTTGGAGTGTCAGTATTTTTCAGCTACCGTGACAATAACTGACTAATTTCCGACATGGGGCATGAAAATGAGGAACAGTTGCGCATTCCTAATTCTCCGCTACAAACCTAGTGACACTAAACTCAGGAGTTAAATCCTAAAAATGCATTCAAGTACCCTATAAACAGAAATGTATCTTATTTGCGCATCACTCAGCTGTAGATCCTCCAAATCATTGGAGGAATGATTGAATTGGTGCTGAAACTGTCCTTCCTTCTGGAGGGTGGCTACTTTTGTTCCCCCATGGTCCTTGTGTGTGTTGTAAAGTAGTCACCGCTCCAAGCTCACTTCTGGGGATGGACTACAGTCTCAGGTTTAGTTTACTAATTTGTATTGAGATTGTAGTCCATCACTGGAACATTACAAGAACTAGCTTGTTAAAGGCAACTTTTGTTTCCCATGCTTCCTGTTTGTGAAGTAATGTAGCCACCACTCCAAACTCACTCCCAGGATCGGCTACAATCCTAGTTTATGTCAAATTAGTAAACTAAACGTGAGATTGTAATCTGTCACACGAGTGAGCTTGGAGCAGTGGCTACTTTACAACACACACAGTGACCATGGAGAACAAAAGTAGCTACCCTCCAGAAGGAAGAACAGTATCAGCATGAATTCAGAGATGATTTGAGGATCTACAGCTGAGTGATACACAAATAAGATACATTTTTTGCTAATCAGTAAGGTACTTGAATGCATTCTCAAGATTTAAATCCTGATGTTAGCGTCACTTTAGGGTTGCCAAGGCCATTGTGGAAAAGGCGTATCGCTGTCACAAAGGGTTAATCAACAAAACATTTTCTGTGAGCTCGTGGAGCCCCAGAATCCAGGACATGGACCGTAAACAGGATTCCTGCACCAGATGGTGATGAGCCCTCAAAAGCCCGATGACAGAATCTCAGCAGGCACACAAATTCATTTGAATACGTTTTACGACCTCACAGGATCACATGAAGCACTTTACAGCACAATGATTATCAGCAATGAATAGAGGCAGATCTTTGATTAAAAAACAAAACAAAAAACCTTATAACCAGAAATATCCAACAATAGAGCGTTCAGCCCAACGTCTGCAAAAAAATACAACACCCTCTTACCTTCAAAAATATTGCTGGTAAAAGCGCATAAAATAAAGTATTTTAAATGCTTACTTCCAGTGTTTTTTCTTTTCTTAAAAGGAGAACTATGAGGCGAGTGATTTTCACTCACCTCATAGTTCTAGCTGACCTGTGACAATTAAACTGTCACAGGTCGGCTCAGTAGATCGGGAAGTGAGAGAACACATACCGGCGTTCCCTTCACTTCTCAATCCTGTCACTGCAGAGCCGTGACAGGTGAGGGTACAGCTGACTCTGCCTCTAGATAGGCAGTCAGCTGTCACTCACGCAGCTGGGCAGATCCAGACATAATTGCTGGGATCCGTTTCAGCTGCGGCATCTCAGCTGTAGCTCGCGGTATACTGAGCTTTGGGTGATGGGAGGACGCTAGTTTGTGTCCTCCCGTTACCCTAAGGAGAACTATGGGGAAAAGCCCTAACCCCATCGTTCTCTTTTAAATCTTTTTTTTTTTTCATTAACTTATAATGTGCCTCTGAACCGGTTAGAAAATCTGACTAGTCAATTCCCTAACAAAGCCCCTGCCGCCACATCACAGCTTTCTTTCTCATCTTCTGGGAGTGTAATTACTCTCTGTGCTGGCCTAGCATCTCCATCTCTGACTTCACCTCCCTAGATAATGGAAAACTGAACACTTACCTTTCTGTAACTTTCCTTTCCTGGTGCCTATACATGGCAGCATACCTATGGTTGGTGCTCTGCCCATCTCCAATCCCCAAGACCGCTAAATCTATATATTTTTTGACCCTACCCCAGTCCACCATTCACGTGACAAGAGGGTGTTATGCTGCCATGTATTGTTACCAGGAAAGAAAAACTACGGAAAGGTAGGTATTCCATTTTCTAGGTGCCTAAATGGCAGCCTACCTATGGTTAAATAACTAGCTACTTGGGAGGATACTGCAATAAAGAATGTGAATGGTGGACTGGGGTAGGGTCAAAAAATGTATAGACTTAGCGGTCTGGGAGATGGGCAGAGCACCAACCATAGGTATGCTGCTAGGCAGGCACCAGGAAAACCATTTAGATAGCTGCCACAGAAGAAGTGAAAGGGAATACTACAGAATGTCACTTGAGTGACAGCTCCAAGTCTGCTAGGCCTGCTGACATCATATCCAAAATGGCCGCACCCAGCAGCAGCTGCAGGGTTTTTGAATGTGTACAGAAGGGAGGCCTTCACATGTAAATAGCATAGCTGAAATATGTTAAATCTTATGGGTAGATTGTTTTTGAAATGAAAGGTCCGTTTAAAAAGTATTTTGCATTTTTGACACTTGACAACAATAGTCAAATTTTCATAAGGAAAAGTTTTAGGACATTATCAAGACAGAAGGTATAACCCCAACTATTATAAAAAAACAAAAACAAATAACTAAATCTGCAACATTTACTAGAAAATCCTTTGAATCATGTCCTTTTACAAATGCCACATAGTATTTGAGGTTGAATAAAGACATTAGTCCATCAAGTCCAACCTATTAGGATCTCATTCTAGGAGTACCCGTACCCCTGTATATTACGTTTTATCTACTAAGAGAATGAAGGAGAGATTGAACTGTAGAAGTAAAAGGACAGAAGTACTGAAGTCAAACAGAATGTCACTTTCTATGTACAGGATTTGGAGACTTCACTGATCAGTAAAATCACAGCAGATGACAGCAAACACAACTTAACTATCACTGCCATTAGCCAAACAGATGCGAGATAATGATTTCCAGTAACTTTGTCTTATAACTTGCACAAACCTGTGTGAATTTTCATAAATATGTGAACTGCAATCTTCTGCTTTTCCACATCAGTTTTATATTTATATTCTGCAAGTTATGTTTAATTGCTAGAAAACTTGTATTGAGTCATTCTCAAAATACATTGAGGGGAATTTATCAATACTGGAGCAGTTGCCCATGGCAACCAATCAGCGTCTCCGTTTCATTTTCAAAGCTTAACCGAAGAAACTGAAGATAGAAGCGGATTGGTTGCATAGACAACTGCTCCAGTCACCCCCCCCCCATTATGGCACATAGGTCATGGTATCGGTTGGCATGCCCCACTTTGTTTGCATGATCTTAACGTAAAGCTGCACTGATATACAGAGCCTGACATTGCTTTTTAAAATGATAAATGTCCTATCTTGTTGATTTAATGACTTCAGTACTTCCTGAATTACTGGCCTGGAAAAATGCTTGCAGATGACAAGTCAGAACTCCCAACCAATATCCTTATTTTGGGTCAGTTGCTCAAAATATTAAATATCACAAATTCCTCATGACAGCCAGATAGGTATTTTCAGAAGCAGGTCAGCAAAGGGAACCTGCACACCTCATTAGATGTTCCATACTCTGCAATTGTGCAAGCATACAGCAAAGAATATCTCATCTTAATTACAATACTTCCTTATTTTATACAAAATAATGCTTTTATATACTTAAGGAGCCACTTGCCAAGACCAAACAAGAAATCAGTAACTCCACAAGTAATAAAATGAAGAAAGAAAAATGTCAATGAAAATGTATTAGCAGCTAGAGGGGTTTGCAGGAACTTTGAAGGATCTCAAACACAAGATAAGGGTATCTGAAAGAACACCGCATTTACCTCTTTATACAATGCCCAAAAATAAACAGCAGCCCTGGCGCTTGTACCATTAAAAAAAAGAAACAAACATACGGTAGCTAGACCTGCATTCCCAAGATAGGCGATTTCCTTTAGGCCTGAGAAAGCAGGGTGACTTAGACATGACGTACCATTGGCTTCTCATAAAATGGAAATCCTTGTAGTTGTCTCAGAGCAGTGGTAGCTGAGCTAAGTTCCTTAAATATTACAAAGGCTTGTCCCCTCATCTTCATTGTCTTTAAGGCCACAATGTCCATCACGTGACCAAACTGGGAGAAGAGCGCATACAGAGATCTCTTTATTTCTAGAAAGAAAGTCAAATTATATTACAACAGATATGAGAAACAAGAAAGCTCAGCCATTTACATAACAGATTATTCCCAATGATAATGTCCCACTGCCCAATATATACTAAACAATGATTAGCCAGCAATGATTAGCTTCTGAGCCAGCAGAACACACAGGAAGAGAGTCTGGTCACATGAAGCCCTCATTCACACGGGTAACAGCCAGCCCGCACAGATCCGTGTTGCATACACGGCCGTATCAGGCCGCTCCCGGGAAGAACAGCTGCTGCGTTTGAATATACGCATCAACACTTTCTTCTCTATGGGAGCACGCGGCCGTACGCTGCACTGCGCTCACCCGAACTGCACGTCCGTGCGGGTGTCCGTACTCGTATGCAGACAGGACAGATCCGTGCACGCAGCACGGATCTGTATGGGCCGGCTGTTACTCGTGTGAATGAGGGCGAACTGTCAAAGTCATGCAACTAGCCCCTCCAACCACCTAGCTCTTGGTTTGAAAGAGCCATTAAATGCAGATTGCAGTGGAGAGGAATATTGCAGTATGTATTGAACACATTGCAATAATCACCCTCCGCTGAAAAACTCCCCCCAAGTGTCTATTCTCACCAAAATCAAAAGGTATAAATCTGCATCCATCTGAAATTCTCGCTACTCTCATGTGCTTTTTGACAACTACAGCTGTATTGCATCTATAATGTTTTTGGTTCGATTACATTTTTACAGGTGTTATTTTATTAATATCTATATTAAGTGCCATTCAGTGCATGTTTTGAATGCAAGGTGTATCCATAAAACGGATATCACAGAGCATTAAGATTTACTAAAGAGAAACCACGGTAGAAGCTGTTTGTTTTTAGATCTTTCAGCATCCAGGTCAGGCAGGTAAATGCATAAAAACAGGCTGAGAGATATTTGCTTTCAAGTTGTCTCTCTCTAACTTAGTCTCCTTAGACGCATACATAATGGGCGGGGTGTGCCTCCTCCGATACATTCAACTGTGTGTCTTATTAGAACATTAGTCATTCAGTCCTGAAAAATATAGATTATCTGCAGATTTTCTATGGTCAGATGGAAAAAGACCAACATATTCCTCTATCTATGCTAAACTGTGTGGATGGAGGAAGCTCCCACTGGGCCAAGCTTCAGTATCTTGCTAGTCGGCCCCGCTGAACAATCCGATTGGATGCAGGCATTGTTCAGGTATTTTGAGAGCCAGTTGGGCCTACTAGCAAGATACTGAAGCTTGGCCCAGTGGGAGATTCCTCCATCCACACAGTTTAGCGTAGATGGAGGAATCTGTTGCACTTTTTCCATCTGACCATAGAAAATCTGCAGATAATCTATAGGTTTATGGCAGAAAGAGAAGGGGGTGGTTAAGTCACTTCCCAATCAGCTGTGTTTGTAATGTGAACTTCAGTCAGTCATTCAGTGCTGGAAGCAATAGGGCTTTTCAACAATGCAGTTGTTTGGCTGGGAAAACTAACCTGAAGTTCACCTGCTTACTAGAAACAGGTACATATAAAATATCCATAATTAGCAGCATAAAATTAAACATTTTTTAAAAGTTAATTTTTAGTCTTGCATATAATATATACAAACTGCACATTTCCTTTAAATTAAAGCTTGACATTTCCTTACCTTCCTTCTTAATTTTGTCATTTAAGTTGTTAATATAAACTGTATGATTCGGCCGGATATCCATTTTTGCAATATTTTCTAAACCTGGAGGATAAGCACATCATGTTATTAGTATAATACAAAGGGAGGAAACAACTCACAACTAATACAACATAAGGGTGGTTTATGTACAGTTTGCTATACTACTTTTAGTCCATTCTGTGTACAATGGAAAATAATAAAGTTCATACACAGTTCTGCACCATACTATATCATAAACTAATTGAGGCTCAAACCAAGAGGTGCCTAAACATACCTGCCTCAGCTCCTACTCTGTCAGAATGCCAGGCTGTTTTGATTTGGCAGTTCTTGGTGATGCAGAAGCTTGCCTGACCCCTCTCACACATTCATATTGGTAGGCCAGTAGAATGCATGGGTGGCAGTAGCAAGCGGGCAAGCTCAGACACTAACTGTAGTGAGGTACCTGATCACTACTGCCTGGTGTATGGACGGTGGTGGGTGCCTGCTCAGCAGCTGGTTTTGTTTTTTTGTTAAAGTGACAGGATCACTTTAAAGCCCCTCTACGGGATAATATTAACCCCACCAATGTCCTACTATCCCCTTACACTGTTGTCCCTCCTCTTCTGGACCCTGAGAGAACCCTAGACAGCCTGTGGGAAGTAAAGAAAGGGTCACCAGCACTCCGTGATGAAGAAATTGGTTTAAATGTATTTACATATCGTCACATAGGTCAAAACAGCCAAGGTTTCAGGGCCACGCGGGGTCCCTTCCTCAAGGTGACACACTTGGGGAAAGGACCTTACATGGCCCCTAAATGCTGGTTGTTTTGTCACTGATTACACTGTTTTCCTCATCATTTAAAGTGCCACTACAGTACCCAGTAATCTCTCTTCCTTTGCTTGCGGTAGGCCTGGTCGTTTTTTGGGTGACTGACCATGTGTGATGTGGATATTTCCTACAGGCTTGTAGATAATACAGTCCAAAACCACACTCCATACAGTGTATTGACCAAAAATAGCAAGGGAGGGTGCTTGTAGCGACAGTAATGGATGGCACTATGCATCACAAAATCAATAGAAGGGTCGTCATGCACTCCATGATGAAGAAATCAGTGTAAATCTCACATGTATGAACGGGGACTAAGACTGGCATCACCTCTTTCCATGTGCTGATGCATGGTTTTATTGCATTTTCACATGTTCTGTTTTTTTCTGTTGGCCAATGAAAATGAAAGTTGAAGTAGAGGTTGTCACACACTAAAACATGTTACATGCATGTCCATATACTGCCATTAAAATAAATAATGGGGCACAAACATACACACTCTAAAAAAATGCACCTGCACTATTTTGGCCAAACTAGAGCAGCACAAAGGGGCCCCAGTGAAAGCAATGGAAAAGCTCTGGGCATGCACATTCAATTGCAAAGGTGTGAAGTGGGCCTAAAAGAGATTCTACAATAAGAATGTAGCGGGTGTGTGTGGTCAGCTGTACCTACACCAGGACCAACTTGTCCACCCAGCCAATACAAAGCACCTTCACCACCATCCTATGCCATGGTTCAGCAATGTGGTCATTATTACAGATGGTGTCCTGGATTCCAAGGCTCCTCAGGTACTAAAGAAGCTAATGGTATGTACAGACAACTGTTGACTTCCTGTATGTGGACTATTGCTAGAAAACAAAGTGGATTAATAAAATACTCACTATGGACAGGTTCTCTTTACACCACATTCACGAATACGAAACCTCCCCCCAGCAGCCCGGTATCGCCGGTACAATCCCGCCTGTTGCAATGAATGACGATGTGCCCGGCAAACCCTGAACACAAAACTCACGTTACTCACCGTGTACGCACGCTGCCCGTCGCTTTACGGCAACGCAATGACATCACACGCCGCTGTCTTCGCTTTCGCACTGGCTGCAGATTACGGTGTGTTGAAACATACGTGAGGTGCGTGAAACCGCGGCGGCCATATTAGTTTCTGGCACGAGTGTCATACAGCATTGTAGAAATACAAATTCTGTATATTTTGTAGTTTGAAGATTAGCTAATTACAGAAGAAGAGGCTTATGTGACATGTGACCCTTTAATATACTGACGTTACTGCAATGCTGATCAACTGTTTGTGGTCTTCAGAGACAAACATAAAGTCAAAGTTTTTAAAGAATAGTTAAAACCTACGTTTTCTTTTCCGTTTTTTTTTTTAATTATTATTTGGTGTGTGTGTCTACCTGGGAAGATAAAACTTCAGTTCCTGTCAAAAACAAAGAGCAAATCACTGAAAAACAGGGGAAATTCCACCCATTTATACCTGAGCAATTTGAAGTGTGTTTACAAAAGTGCGTCAATGCTTGACACTCAGATTTCCATGTTATTCTATTATGCCCGTTCACATCTGAGCAATGTGCTGCCATGTAACAGTCATGATCATTTGTTTATGTCTTCAATAGACTAAAATGTGACCGCCTGAAGAACACGCATAACGTGTATTTTCTATCTGATACACGCCTAACAACCATCTCCTAGAAACTGGCTTTCCATTGGCATTGAGCCCCCATTCACACTTGCAGCTTGCATGAACATGTGTTTGCGTTTGTGTGTGTTTTGCCACGCATCAACCCATAATTTCAATTGGCTGCCCGTGCGGGACAAATGTGGCAACGAAGCTCATGCACCGGTTTGAGCTGTGACCCACACACGTTTTTTTTTGCTTTTGGCGTGTGTCAATGCGTGGGAAAAGATGCCATGCGCGTTTTTACTGCGCTGTGCGAACGTGCACCAATGCACACGCTTTGGTGTACATTCACACACACGACAAGTGTGAACAGGCACCAAGCCTAAAAATGTGTGTACAAACGTGCAAAAAAAAATTATGCAAGAAGCAACCAAAGCCGCCGAGGGTGAAGTGTCAATCCAGCCTTGTCACTGGAACAGTTATTATAATTCATATACGGGATTTATATTATATAGCGCCAGCAGTTTGTGTAGCATTTTACAATATAAAGGGAGAGAGTACAGTTACAATACAATTCAAGACAAGATGGTTGGGAGGGCCTTGTTCATGAGAGCTTACAATCTACAATCTAAACAGTTATCCAAACTTCAAGATTCCCCCTCACCTCTCGTTCCTGACAACTCTAAAATGATGAATTCCATCACATTTTGCCCTCATTATTGTCTCCAGGCAGTATGTGATGAGGAAACCAAATGTTTTATTCTGGTAAATCTATGTAGCAAGGGCACAGATGCACATGACAGGGGCTTTATCACAGCCTTTTGTTATTATTTATACTTTCAGAAAATGTGTTATTGGTTTCCATATCCCTTAATGGTATTATAAAATGCTTCCTTTTCCGGGTTTTTTTTTTGTTAAGTGAACTGATGGACACTGTCAACCTCATCCTCGTTTCACTACCTTGTTCAGTTACTAACCCTGACCAAGCAGGTAGCCAGTGAAGTGTGAAAAGTGCATACTGTCCCATCTGTTGTATGGGCAGTGAAGCCAACTGATGACATGCACCGAGTCCGCACCGATCAAGTCAGCAATGGCAGCCCCTGATGGTTTGACCAATGAAATGATTCCATCTTCCAATCAACTATAAGGAAAACTGACCCATGTGTGGAGTTATTTTCTGATGCCTTCAATAAGTTTATGTCAGGTAGAATCTGAAAAGCAATGGTAACACATAAGGTCTTATTGGCACAATGGCACTTAATAAACACTGAGGAGTTTGGGACACCATGGCACATATTAATAAGGGGTGTATATAAACATCTGAGGATTCTGGCACAGTTCTAGAATGGTCATGATGGGGCAAATGAGGGTGTAGCAACTTGTGGAAAGAAAACATAATGAGGGTGCATGAGTATGAAGCAAGCTGTGGGCAGAAGACAAAGGTGGTTGGCATGATGGTGGCACATAAGAGTGAAAAAAGCTGTTGACACTTGACATAGGTTGCTGGTATGATGTAGGTGCACAAGGTTGAACATATGAGCAGAAAAATTAGGCAGGCATTGTGAGGGCACATAAAGGTGAAGAAAGATGTGAGCAAAAGATGACTGGTTGAAAAGAGGTGTCTGGCATGATTGGGGTGCATGAGAGAGAACCTGTCTCAAGAGAACATGATTAGGGAGCATGAGGGGGAGCTGTGGGCAATATTCAAAATAGAGGAGAGATTGTATAGTGACACATTATGGTATTCTTTTTGATAAAAGTAAAGTGAGAGGGAGCACAGGGATACGTACAGATTGAGGATTCGACAGCATGTATGTACAGTGCAGGAGGGAAGAGGATAAGGCACCAGAAGTCTGACAGGATCTAGGAAACTTGGAGACCCTGAGCAAATGACCAGCTTGACCTACGAAATGCTAATCCTGGGTTACAGACCTGAGATATCATAAGAAATAGCCTGGGCCAATCATAACAAGAGAGAGACGTGTTCATAAATCTAAGGGGCGTTTGTATTCCAGAAATCTGTTTTACTTCTGGGTCAAATCTGTCAACAATATTTACTTTCTACCCCATTCATGAACATTAGTAAAAAGCAATAGTCTGTTGTGCTGGTCCTATTGCTTCAATACTTTGAACCACTGATCCAGTACAAGTATATAGAGGAGGCTGTCTAACTTCACTGGATGCATACTTGTTCCATTTCAGCAATTCATAAAGTATTAAAGCTGAAGACAGCCAGGCAAGTAGCATTTTCAGGATATCGTATTTCACAGATCTCTGACACACAGATTGGAGGATTACACCCCTGTTTACTAGGCCAGCTTTGCAGCTTCCGGCATCACCTCTTTGGGCCTGTTCACATGAGTTTCAGGTTTCCGTGGTGCTACTGATGCAGTGCGTTTTTGATGCGTTCCAGTAAAAAAAAAGTTTTTGACGCGTTTGCGTTTCCTGACCGTACAAAATGTGACATGCAGTATTTTTCTGTCGTAACCTGAACGAACTGCACACGTGACAACTGTAGCCCATAAAACACATAGGGATACATTGGGATGCATTTTGAGTGCAGGAGCGTACGGATCAGGTCAGCACACAAAACGGACGTCGTGTGAACAGGCACTCAGTCCATTCTCCGGAGGATGAATCAGAATCACCACCACTGTGCAATCAGCAGGAAGGTGGTATACATAGCTGTACATCCGATTGGGAAATAGAAGAGTTGTCTTCCAGCCTAGTGGTTACATTGACAAATGGTTACATTTTTGGTCCAACAGCAAAATTATTTATTGGGCCGACAGCAGAGCACTTCTCACTCTCCAGAAAGGTCACCTCAAGGTGATTCCCTTTTGGGCCAAGTGCAAATAGAACCTATGCCCTGCACCCCAACATGGCAGTGCCTGGGTCCTGCTGACAGGCTGCTCAAGTTGCATCACATTATGAGATGGAGGTACAGAATAATGCACATTCGCTTCACTACCAGGAAGGTGATTCATGCGGTTCTAGAGGGAGATATTGTTTTGCGTGAAAATAACAAACTGATAACGTAAACGTATGCTTTCCTTTATCAAATGCAGATTTTTGTTATGACTGAAAACACGAAGTGCACAGTTCACCTCTGTCATGCGTTCCCACAATCCACATTCGGTGCACGGATGACTCTCTTCCGCAGTAATAGGCTCACAAACTGTGGAACCACCACATGATAATGTTTCAGAGAAATTCAAACTTTATTCCACATGCATCTGTACAAAGCACAACCGTTGACGCGTTTCTGCCTTACACGGCCTTAGTCATAGCTGATTATTGTTATACCTTCATCACGGGTTTGCTTTAAAGGCAATTCACAGTTTACCTAAAAATATACTACTTAGGACATATGAGTGCAATAAGTGTTTCTTGCAAATACAACCCTCTCCTTCAGCATCATGTTTTCAGTGCTTTGAAAGCATTATGATACAAGGATTCTCATAGAGAGCTATTGTATTTGCAAGAAACACTGCAATATCACATATTGCCATAATGTAGGGTTACACAGTTACATAGTATTTGAGGTTGAATAAAGACATAAGTCCATCAAGTCCAACCTATTGTGTGTGTGTATAGGTCCCTGAGTGTTCTCATTCTTAAGAGTACCTGTACCCCTGTATATTACGGTCTCTCAGGAAATCGTCCAAAAGCTTCTTGAATGATTCCAGACTATTTGCGGAAACCACTGCTTGAGGCAGCGAGTTCCATACCCTAACCGCGCGAACTGAGTAGAACCCCCTTCGCCCCTTGTGTTTGAATTTTTTTTCTACCAGTTTTAGGTGGTGGCCTCTAGTCTTTGTTACGGAATTAATCTTAAAGAGTTTGTTGCTAATGTTGATATGACTATTTAACATTTTGTACATAAAAATCATGTCCCCCCTTAATCTCCTGACTTCCAACATAAACATGTTTACATTTAGTAGCCTTTTCTCATAGTTCTGGTCCTCCATCCCCTTGATGAGTTTGGTTGCCCTCTGCTGGACTCTCTCCAGCACAAGGACATCCTTTCTGTGTACTGGTGCCATTCAGGAACTTGCGTTTTCCTGCAACAGAAATCCCTAAATTGGCGTTTTACAAATGGCAGCTGTCACCTAAGTTAATGATCAGGTGACAGAAGTTGCATGCAAACGCCTGCACACCGCATGTAAAGATTTTTTATGTCCCCCCAGTGTCATTCTTATTATTATTATTATTATTATTATTATTATGTCCCCCAGTGTCATTATTATTATTATGTCCTCCTGGTGTCATTATTATAATTATGTCCCCCCAGTGTCATTATTATTATTATGTCCCCCTGGTGTCATTATTATTATTATGTCCCCCGAGTGTCATTATTATTATTATTATGTCCCCCCGTGTCAATAGTAATAATAATGACACTGGGGGGGACATAATAATAATAA